TGCCATGGCATCATGGCATCACTGTTCACAGCAACCTCCACCTTGGGCTCAAGTGATCCTCTTGCCTCAGTTTTTCTATTTTTAGTAGAGACCAGGTCTTGCTTTTTTGCTCAGGCTGGTCTTGAACTTGTGAGCTCAAGCAATCCACCCTCCTCAGACTCCCAGAGTGCTAGCATTGCAGGCATGAGCCACCGCGCCCGGTTTCTTGAGTTATTACTCTATTTTCTCTCCTCTGTTTTCCACTCTCTTTTTAACTCATAGCAGTTCGACGTTGGGTCTCCTGGGTTCATCCTCTAAATGACTGTCGCTTCCCGCACATTTCCTATCTGTTTCTCTTTTTGTTACACTTCCTGGAAAATTTCTTCTACTGTCTTCTGACCTTTCTATCAAATTCTTATTTTTCGATCTTATTTTAATTTCCAAGAGCTTTTTCTTGTTTCCCAGTTGTTTCTTTTTCATAGCCTCCTGATCTTGCTTTATTGACACGGCAGCTTCTCGTAGCTCTCCGAGGATGCTAATCAAAGGGTCTTTTGTTGTTGTTGTTGCTGTTTCCTCCTGTTTTTTATGTTGTCTCTTTCCTTTAGAATCTTTTCTCTTATTCTTGTTTGTTCTTGGGCCTTTACCCCCAGAGTTTGGTGTCTTTAACTGTCAAATTGCATTTAAGGATAATTGGAAGCTTTGGGGCAAGGTTGGAATTTCTCTACTGGTGAGTTTTATACATATAGATCTGAGATCTGGTGTGATGTCATCTGACTCCTCTGAGAATAAAAGCCACAGCCAAATGTCAGGTTGCAATTCTTTTTCTGCAACCACTGAGCATCTTCAGAAGGGAATCATCCAATATCTGCAGAAAGCAGGTAAGCTCGTAAGCCTGGCTGCTGGCGGAGTGAGCTCCTATGACTGAGGATAGTAGGGGAGCTTGCATATAGATGGTAGTGAGGGGAGGTGGGATGCCTGGCTGACAGTGGTGAGCGTGGTTGCCTGGCTGATGGTTCTTGGTGTTATAGATGGAAAAGGGACTGGACAGCTGCCCACTCCATAAACAAATGTTTCTGCAATCCCCTGTTTTCAGACCAGCCCCTTCCCCCGGCCTCTTGTTGTATCTGCCATGTCTGAACCCGGAGGCTTTCCTCCTGCTCACCTTCTCCAGAGCATAAGCCTTGCTGTCCTGGGAGAAGGGGAGGTGGGGGGTGTAATAAGTAGGAGGCCTGGGGGCTGACCATCTATATATGACTGTTAGAGGCCTCCCAGTGGAACTTTCACCAAATTCTTAGTGATCATCATGAAAAGAATTTTCTGCACTGAGAGGAAGTGGGTTTTGACCTTTTGAAGTCTTATTAATTGAGGGGAGGAATATTCAAGGCTGAGGTTTCGGCTTTTACTAAGAACATGGGTATCATTCCTAGAATTAGGTTCCTTCCCATTTTCACCCTTTATGTATTTGTCTGCAAGGCCCCCACCCAAGCCAGCCGCAGCCCTGTCTCCCAGCTTCCTACCCTATCAAAGACTTTTAGCCAATCTCCTGATTCCTTGTGCTTTATTTGTGGCTCAAAGCTTTGAGCCTGTCAAAGGTTCTGTGGAGTGGAGACAGTAGACATCCATCTTATCTTGTCAGGGCCCCTCTGCAGCCCCTTTTTGTGTAGCATCCTTCACTCCCATATAAATTAGTCATCTTTCTCCCAATCCGTCCCATCCTCTCATGCCTGCTGTCCGCCCCTGCTCTTCACCCTGGGTGCCCACACTAGCACACAGTCCCTCTGTTCTCACTTCAGTGGGGGGTGGGGAGATGCTGAGTCCTGGATGTCAGCCTTCCATTTAACCCCCTCACATTTTTGCATGTTATGCAGCCCTTTATCAGATTTGGGAGTTGCAGCAGCAAACCTGCCGATGTCATCAGAAAACACCTAGAAACATTTCCCTTCCTCTTATCCTACATTGTACCCAACAGCACAGAACACAGCATCCCCTACAGACAAGGAGAATTTTTCCCCCCAAAAGTGATGCTTTCCTCACAGTCATCAGAGTTCACCTTCCAATCTTTTCCTGTTCTTGCCCGTTTGAACCATAATAATCACCTACTCAATGAAAACATTAAACAGGCTCAGCCCAGAGCCCCGGGTGATGTCCCTGGTTAACAGACACAGCATCAGGAGGCAGCAGTCTAGCAAGTCACCCAGCTGCCGCTGGGGTCACCTGCCTTGGACCCAAATCCAGGAAGTCCCACTTTCAAAGTGATGGCTGCAGACAAGTTACTTAACATCTCTGTGACTCAGCTTCCTCCCTGTAAAATGAGGGTTCCCCAACAGGGGGTTATTGTGAGGTTAAATTAGATAACCAGTTCACAAAGCACCCAGCATGCAAAGATGAGAATCAATCCCCCAACCCTCACCCGGCCTGCCCCGCAGGCATCTGCATGCTGTCCCACATTTTCTCCTCTAGTTTGCTCCTGGTCCACCCAGCTTTCTCTCTGTCCTATAGTAATGCAAACTTGTGACATCATTTGGCCTAAAGTAGATGCTAATTCCCATGCTCCCCACACAGTGCTGGGTTCTGTGGAGGATGGGAAGTGCAGACCACCATCTCAAAGTGTGGGAGGCATCCAGTTTGGATGGGGATATAAGGGTAACAGTGTCCAATGCCAGTGTCCTGGCTTCTAGCCAAGGACAACAACAACAAGTAATACTTCGATGTGGTGAATACGACTCTAAGTCCTTCTCTGGCATGAGCTCAGTGAATTCCTCATGACAGTCCCACACCCGGTGCAGCACTGTTGATGTCATTCTAGTTTTGCCGATGAGGACGCTGATACAAAGAGAGAAAGGTGACACTGTTAATAAGAGGTAGGGCCATGGTGCAAACACAGCACAATGACTCCAGGATCCATGCGGTTAACCACTGGGCCAAACAACACATTGACTGGTCTCTGGGGGTTGTTATTCAAAAAGCAGGTCCCTTTCCTAACCACACCTCTGTTGACAGCCTCGCCTGGGGTTCTTTTGCCCTCTGCATGGCTGTGTCTGTTGCCACCATGAGCAGATACACGGCCACCCGCCTGGAGTTCACAGAGGAGCGGAGGAAGCAGAAGGACAGTCAACACACCCAACACACCTGTCCAGAACCCAAGGCTTCGGAGATCGTTTGGGAAACAGGAGCAGCTCCCAGGCCTGCTGGACATGCCCTTGTGAACATTTCTGGGCACCTGCCACCAGGTGCCCCAAGCAAAGTGTCTATGTGCTAATCATCACCCGGGGACCAGATCTGCACAGGCAGACAAACCAGGCACTTGTACCCACAACAAATACCTCTAGGGTGGGCTTCAGAAGACACAGATCTGGTAACCCCTTCATCCCCTTCACTAAATACCTTTGGCTTCAAGCCTCTGATTCCTATTAAAATGCCAGTATCTTTAAGTGAGATAACTCTTATAGAAGATATCAACCATTGACACTCTAGTATAAAGGAGCTTCTCAAGCTTTCTTGACAGTGAGTTTAACAAGAATATCAAAGAAAGAGGAAGCATGCAAGTACTAAGGGGAGGAGAAGCTAAAGAAGGGGAAAAGAGAGTATCTAATTACAATAGATGCAAAATGTGCTCCCCACATAGGTTTTCTGTCAGAATACTCCAGAAATTATTTTTTTCCCTAATTAATACGTAATAAAGTATGTGTTGCTATCCCATACATCCTTTTTATTTTAATTAAGAAGATAGAAATTTAAAATAAGTTTTTGTGATTTTTAAAATATTTTTTCTCTGAAATTTTGTGATTTCTACTTATAGTAAAAGCAGCTTGGAAGGGTAATCAAATGATAAGAAATGAATACACAGTCAAATGGAATGACATCTTATCACAATGAAGTGGAACAAATGTTTGAATTGTCCTGCTCAAATTAAATTGTCAGGCACTTTTGCTTCTAAAAATAAACTTTGTCAAACATAACAAGTCTTGTTTGAGGCAGCGGTGTGCTGGGGGTTTCCTAACGTGTTCAGTTGTAATATCACATTGATTTATCTTGTATTTCAAGCTAACATGTCATGAGGCCCCAGGTTGTCAGACACATACTTTGGGTTTTTGAAATAAGGAATGGATTGCCAAATTCTAACACTTTTAATTATGTCCTAGCTCAGTTTCATTTTTAAAACATATTCATATGTTTAGAATATTATCATTTCTGGAAAAAAACAAAACAACGTTTCCAATAAAAACAATTTGTGCTGTATTGTAATACTTAATATTGCCACAAAACAAAGGGGGAAATCCAACTAACCTCTTCATGTTTGGGTCTCAGTCAAGCACCTGTCTAAGAAACGCTGGTCCTGTGAAATTTTGTTTTGTTGCACAAAGCATATTTGGAGAGATACAAAATAGATTTTGAAAAGAGAGAAAATGGAATAGCCCAACCCAGAGAATGGGTGGTGGAATTCCCTGGGCCATTTATTCATCTAGAGCAGAAAGGTTTGCACCCACCAGCCTCTGCCCTTTATATTGTGTAGTTTGTCACCCCATGTATTCCCGTAGTAGGCGCTCTGTGACTGTCACAACATTAAGTCAAAGTCTGTGCTGAGAGAGAAGGAAATACACAGGGAAGAAACATTTGCTTAATTCTCTCTTGGAGACAACTTATCTGTGGAGACTGCGGCTGAGGTTGCCAAAGAAGAAATGAAGGTTTGGGCCACGTGAGAGCAGCTGGCATCGTCAGATGGTGCAGTTGGCGCTGCCAGAAACCAGTTAGACACTGGGGCAGCCCGGAAAAGTCCTCACTCACAGAGGTCACACTGAGGGTCATACCAAAGCAATTCTCTCCTGTAGCCTCTGAGCTCCCAAGGTATTTTGCTTACTTTTACGTGTATGAAATGTCAATTTTATTGAAGGATAACACATACAGAGAAACCATCAGTGTCCAGCTTTGTACATTTTTAGAAAGTGAACACACCCATGTAACCACACTGCACATCGAGAAGCAGAACCAAGGTATCTCTTCTTCATCCATTTGTGCTGTAAACCAGTTGGATCTTAATTCTTTAGTATAACGAAATAGTCTTTTTTTATATCCTCCCCCCTCTTATGGATTATACATTTTTCTCTGGAAGAACTGTTCTCTGTGCCTCTGCCCCCAGCATCTGGAACAATGATTCCCAAATAAAAAAGTTATATATGTATATGTTTATACACACACAGACGTATACATATGTATACAAATGTGTGTGTGTGTGTGTGTATGTACATTCATACTCCATCAAGTAGAGCTTTGGTAGCTATAGCTCAGAATTAAGGATCCAGACAACCAGCTCATAAATCCTGGCTCCTCACTTTGACCTTGGGCAAGTCACTTAATCTCTCTTTGCCTCAGTTTTCCCACCTGTGAGATAAGAACCCTACTCCACTCCTCCCACCTATTTTAAGAGCTGTGAGGACTAAGTGCCTCTGGGCACATGAAGATCTTAGGACTAGGCCTGGCACTTAGCAAGCACAATGGAAGGATTAACTGCTAGTCTGTGCCAGGCACAAATACAGCCTTAGGTCTCGTGGGTGACAAAGAAACATGGTGGAGTCTGAGCCCTCCCACTGAGTTTCAGAAACAGTAGTGAAAAGTGTGGTGACGTGTCTGAAAGAAAGTCAGGGTCAAGTGAGGGCAAAACCCAGCCACTTCTAGTCTGAAAGCCATCAGTCCTTGGTTAACCAGTCACCTTCATCAGGTGTCTACAATGTTCCAGGCACCATGCTATTTCTCCAGGAAGGAAGGAAGCAGAACTTCTTCCTTTTCTGGGATTAGCAAAATGCCTGTTGGGGTCCATTGTGGAAAAATCGGGCCATGTCCACTGTCTCCTTATAATAGTGCTCGACAAGGCAGGCTCCAGGGTGTCGATTGTCCTGAACAAACCCGCCACCAGATCTGCTCCTCTCTGATCTTTCCTCGGCAGGCTCAGGGAACTTAGGGGCCAGGGTTCCGAGCCCACCTTAGGAAGTGGAGCAGGATGACCGCTGACTCAGGTGGTCAGGCAAGAATGAGCAAGGTGTTCAGAAGTGAAGACCTGAGGCAGCAGCAGTCTGACCTCAGGCAGCCAACGATTTTTCCAGAATTGGTAATTCAGCCCTACACTCATCCAATTAGCCCTAAAGCAGTGATTTTCAACCAGTGTGCTGAGGCACATTGGCGAGCCATGAGAGGACCTTGGGTGTGCAGCTAACATCTTTAAAGATCATTAATTTAATTATTTGCCAAAGAAGTCCAAAGCACAGTAAATGTATTATTTTTTTTACTCTTTTTTATTGGATCAACATAATTTAAGTGTGCCATGGAAGTTTATCTATAGGTTCAAGTGTGCCGTGAGATGAAAAAGGTTGGAAAACACAGAGCTAGAGTCTGTTTCATTGATGGCTTCATGCTATAGAGAGCTTAGCTGCATTTCTGATGAACCCCTTTGGGGATCATAGTTTGGTTGTCTGGACTGAGATGGACTTTTTGAGCTCCAGATAAATATGGGTAGGCATACTTGATGAGACTGGAATTATGTTTTCTCATGTCTGTTTCTGACTAAACACCTACAAAGAACATGTGTCTATAGAGCACCGTGTGGGAGTCTCAGAAGACACCAGCATGGCTGAGTCTGCCCTGGCCTCAAGGGGCCAATGACGGAACAGTTCAGAGCTGTCCGGCAGAGAGTGTGGGGGAGATTGGAAAATAGCCAAGTTACCTGAAGGTTAAAGGACACGTCAATCACTCAGACAGCTGACCAGCAACCTTATTCACTCTTGTTAAACCAACTGCATTGCATTAGAAAGACAGGATCTAGAGGTGGAGTATGAAACAGTAGACAAGACCACATAAGAGTAAAGCTCAATTAAACTCAAGGGGGGAGGAGGGAGGGAG